TACAGCAAGAAAAGAGGTCATACTCGGCAGGGACATGACGTTTGTCGCAAAACAGACTCGAGAGGGTTTGCGAGTTGGGCCCCAACTGTTGAGCTAGTAACCGGGAGGTCGGAGGTTCGATCTCGGGAGGTGACATGTGAAAATAAATCGGGTCTGGACCCTAGAGTCGACCACCTCCAATCCTCTAGAGCAACTCTAGAGGACCGCAGTACTGAGGTTGGGCAACCAGGTACCACTTACTAACGGGTGAGTAGGTAAACAGCCTACTGACAAGTACTGGTACTCGTTCATAGGTAGACCGCTCAACAGTAACTACTAGTTACTAACTGCTATTTCGCAGAGTAGTCATTCTAGCTCAGTAGGATAAGCTAGTATTCTATGATCCAGGTGTCTCAGGTTCGAATCTTAGTAGAGGTATATTTCGGAATTCAGGGATAGTCGAGGAAGTCGAGGTATGGCCTCAGGTTCCATCCCGGCCCGGGATTCCCGGGGTACCTCATTTCTCACGTACTTTATTTGTCCATTCTGGAATCGATGCTGGAATCGATTTTAAGAATCGTGTCTACTGAACGCGAGTCGGAATTGATTCTGGAACCGCTTCCGAGATCGATTTTCAACTTTCAAAATCGTGTTTATTGAACACGACTTCAGGAACGATTTCGAAAATCGATTTTGAGAATCGATTCCAGCATCGCACACAGCCTTGTCTATTGAACGGGGGGCGTTCGTGTATCTTTGAAACGGTCCCGTGGCAAGATTCAGTAATGCTGCTAAGTATATTCATCAAACGCATATCGCATTCTCACTACTGATGCAGGTTTGTATTCTGTGCTAATCTTCTACTTCCCTATGGCCGACTCAGCCTTGTGGAGCTCTAGTGGCGACAATGATGAACGTGAACTCCAAGCACTATTTTATTGGTCGATGTTTGGAAATTTTCATGCGGGCCTAAGAAATTCCCAGTTCTCAAGAAACTCGAAATATCCGGGTAATGGCTGTAATGCAAACTACGGGCTCCTCAAGAAAAGAAGAAACAACAGGTGAAAGCTGAGAAAGGGAAACCCGAAACCCGACGGAGAACCTGAAACCCGAACTGTAATCGAGGTTCAAGACGTTACTCATGTGAACCAGAAACTCGAAGGAATGACCGTACAAATCTTGGGCGCGCGGAAGAAAAATTTGGGCTGGAGGAAGATAATCTTTGCTGTCCTCAGATCGCCTAAGTATTTATCGTACCGCATGCTTGTAGTGATAATGAAACGGCTGCTAATCAGCCATCACTAATTATTACTATTGAGATCTTCACCCAACCCTGGGAATTTGAGTACTATAATACATGTCACCGCACAAAGATCAGCACGTTGCCGCCCGGGAGACGAGGCCAACGTTACACCAACCAGTTTCCACCAACCTCGGGGTAATCTGTCCGGGGGACGTTTTTCACCACAGAATGCGCTGTAATCGGCTTTCGAGCGTGTTCTGCCAAGAGTATGTTGATGTATCTTGTTTGGGTGCAGACTCTGCACTGCAGAGTTTACTAAATTGGCCAGGACCCCTGGCCCAGGGGTCCGACAAGTTCCGTCCTGTTTGGTTCGTGGGACATGAATGGACCTAGTAGTTTTATGCGGACTTGGTGTACACCTCCATGTATGAGGGTACGAATATATGTGATTAGATGACAGCGGAACTACGTCACTTTTTCCACAAACGTCTTGGCGATAGCGACACCGGACGAACTCGCACGCCTCGTTGCCACTCATATGAGATTATGTGACTTGTATGTCAATCAACAGTCATCCGGGGAACTCCCATGATGAATCGACTCCCGATCCGCTGAAGAACTCAATGGACGTTCTCATGACTGTGATGTTAAGGTCCAGCCATCCATATATATACTGTCGGTGCGAGATCATGGTAGCCTACAATTACATCATTGCAGGGCTTTCGTTGTCCAGGAAGCTCGATAATATTATCATTAGAATGTTCGGGATGATGGTCGATTTGTATGAACAAACATGTGAAGGTCCAGAGATCGATTCTCGCCCTCGGAACACTACTGCAAGTAACCTCGCCGAATGCATTGTGGCTCGTGTGCACAGCGCGAGCTTTATTCATACGCAAGTCGATGATGAACTAGTAAATAAGGCCGACCACTTTGATGACATCTGAACGAACTTGGCCTCTTTGACGAAGTAGCGGAGCTCGCTACAGCCAAATGCTACCGAATCGGTAGCCCAGTAGTCCCTTGATATTTTCGGTAGTACCAATATGAGTCTGGTTCTGACACTGGCGCTGGCTCCCAAGCTCGACCCCACCTTCTCGGCAGAATTCTCATTGGAGCTGTCAACTCCTTCTATGATCCCTTGAACCTCTTCATAGAGTTCGCTGCCGATGGTCGTGGTCTCTCGTGTGTAGTCAGTGTATTGATGGATGGCTATCTCATATTGGGGCAGTCTTCTTGATGAAGACCTCATCGACAAACTCAACGGGTGGGTCTCCTCAATTCCTCGGGATCGCTGGATGCCCCGCTAGAGAAGATCTGTACGCCTTTCTCAAATGCCGGCTGCCATGGTTATTGCTGCGATGTACGCATGGCATCCTTTCCTTATACCCGCGAGTGTGGTCGGTTCGGCTTAGTCTCTTTTGAATGCCCTCAGAAGCATTCAATCGTCCAGAAGGAGATATCCGCCCTTGCCAGCACTGTGTCGTTGCTGTATAAGCTGTTGGACGTCACCTCCGCCCATGGCCCTCTCCCAGCCCCCTGCGACGTGTTCGACGACTCTCTCATTATAATCGACCGTCTTCGGTCCGTCTCAAACGACAACAAGCTGGGCATATTCGAGCGCCACCGGCTGCGACCATTTGTGACTTTGTGACCCGTGCATGGAAGTTGGGCATCACATATCGCATACGTTATAATAGTGGTATCTGCAATCCATCAGACCCATGTACGAGGCTCTTTCGTGACCCTGGTGACCTACAACCATTACAGCCCAAGAAGGTATCTGTTGGTGTTGGTGCATCTCTCAATTGCGTCCTATCCCGCATCTCTGGATCGGCTGGCGCAGAAGGGCAGTGACGACAACAGCTGCGACGATGCTATCATCGAGAACGACAGAATCTTTATCGACAACGATACAGTTGAGAGTAGTGAGTCAGACTACTGTATATTATCGATTACGCTGTTGGTAGAACAGTCCCAGTTTTTACGATGATCAGTTCGGTTTGAGAGGTTCAACTCCAAATGAGATGATATAAGGAACCTTTTTAAGTATAATTGTCATACTTAGTGATTAACGTATTCCGATACGTTCTACTCTATTGTACGTCCGCTCTCGTACAAGCCCACCCCCACTCACTCGCCGTGTATTGAGCTCTATTATTAGGAGGCTACTATCTCTACAGTGGCGCACAAGAAACGCTCGTGAGGACTCGAGTCCTCCAAGGGACCGTGTGACAAGAAAAAAAATGCATGTAGACATCCGCTGGTATGATTCCCAGGAGTTCGATGGAACACCCATTGACTAAAAACCGGCCGAAGACTCGCGCTTCTACTAAAACACAAGCCCCGTGTGGGCTTGCACAGGTTGGGAGTCCCAACCCGGGACTGGTGCACGTCTAGGCCGCACAAGCTGGTTGTGCGGAATCTTGACTATTCGTGGTGTTTTGCGTGGAGTACACCACTTGCTCGATGTTGGTAGAGCAGGAGGAGTTTGCAGTCAGGATGACTTTTAGAATCTTACCTTTCGGTAGCTTTAGGGTGTGATTTAACTCTAACAGCGAGTTGAAAAAACATCTTCTGATAATTCATCATGTCGCGACGATGCCAGTATTGGGTTGCGCACCAGTGGCAATTAGCTAGATCGAGAGGGCGCTACAGTATCTTGAAATCATGTTGTTAGTCTAACTGTTGTAATTGATAGTTATCGAGCGAGTTCAAGGCATCCATCGAGTATGGTAGAGGCCAACTTTTAGGTGAGTGATGGATAGACTAACTGTCGCAGTCGAGTCGACCTTTTCGTTCCAAATGCGAGTTCTGTTGATCTTGATCCTCGTCATTGGGAGCCGCTTCTGCGATGCAAGTGGACGGGAAACTACGAGAGCTCCAACTACCACGACTACAATGAGAGCTACAACTACCACGACTACTACGAGAGCTCCAACTACAACGACTACAACGAGAGCTCCAACTACAACGACTACAACGAGAGCTACAACTACCACGACTACAACGAGAGCTACAACTACAACGACTACAACGAAAGCTACAACTACCACGACTACTACGAGAGCTCCAACTACTACGACTACTACGAGAGCTCCAACTACCACGACTACAACGACTACCACGACTACTACGAGAGCTCCAACTACCACGACTACTAAGAGAGCTCCAACTACCACGACTACTACGAAAGCTACAACTATCACGACTACAACGAGAGCTCCAACTACCACGACTACAACGAGAGCTCCAACTACCACGACTACTACGAAAGCTACAACTACCACGACTACTACGAGAGTTCCAACTACCACGACTACTACGAAAGCTACAACTACCACGACTACTACGAGAGCTACAACTACTACGACTACTACGAGAGCTCCAACTACCACGACTACAACGACTACTACGAAAGCTACAACTACCACGACTACTACGAGAGCTACAACTACCACGACTACTACGAGAGCTCCAACTACCACGACTACTACGAAAGCTACAACTACCACGACTACTACGAGAGCTCCAACTACTACGACTACTACGAGAGCTCCAACTACCACGACTACAACGAGAGCTACAACTACTACGACTACAACGAGAGCTACAACTACCACTACTACTACGAAAGCTACAACTACCACGACTACTACGAGAGCTCCAACTACCACGACCACTACGAGAGCTCCAACTACCACGACTACTACGAAAGCTACAACTACCACGACTACAACGAGAGCTACAACTACTACGACTACAACGAGAGCTACAACTACTACGACTACCACGACTACTACAGGTTTGTTTTGATTTTCTTCCTAAGAATGTCACGCACCAACAGTCGTCGCCCCATCACTGCAACTGGCAGCCATGGTGATGGAGCTAACGCTGGAGACGATCAAAGGACGGATCACGGAGGAAACGACGCCAATAACAGGATAGGGAAAGTAGGTGTGGGGAAAGTACAGCGTAATTTCCCTGATGACCTTCGCATAACATATAAAGATAGCAATATCTCCCAGTTGCTTGACTGGGTAGATACTACCGTAGACTTCTTTACTAATAATGACCGTAACACTCTGCCCGTTTATGGCAATAAGGGCATACATGAATGTGTCGCTGAACTCAGAAGAAAGTTCTTAGCCCTCACAGAAGGTGCTCTGCATCATCAAAAAGAGATAAGCAGAGTAACCGCTGAGTTGGCTGAGGAGCGTAACAAAGTGAGAGTCATAGGAGGGGGTGTCAAAAGGAGAAAACCATCGGTAGATGCATCTTCGGAAGCCAGTTTGGGTAGTTGGGCCTCCGAGGAGAGCAACCCGTGGTCTGATGCCATGGGAGATAGAGAAAATATGGGCGACCTGATTTTAAGAAATATGAATAGTAGTAGTAGTAGTAGTAGTGACAATAACAACATATGGAATACAGTAGATAGGAATCGCAATAGGGGTAGACAGAACACTAGAAAACAGGGAGATGCCTCACAGATTAGGCGGGGCTCCCTTGAGCAAGTAGAGAAAGAGAAGTTTTCGGTTATCGTAACGGGTAGTTCTAGAGTAGCTCAGGATGGAACGTGGCCGTTCTTATCAGTAGAGGACGGTAGGAGACTGAGTGAGGAGCTTGACACACTCCTCGATAAATTGCGAATTAACGCATCATATGCAACGCGAGGTGGTGTAGCAATATCGTGTGATAATAGAGAGGAGCTCGAAAAAGTTGAGAAGGCGATCAGAGAGGCAGAACATTATGTCATGAGGCCCAACACTGGGCCCGACATAGTGATGAGAGTGATTATCCCACCAGTACATGGCGAAATCTCGAAAAGGGATGATATACTGGAGCATATCGGTCGTAAGAATCAGACTGACCTGAGCTCATGTAAAGTTGTGAAAAGAACTCTCAGGGGGTCCTTATTGATCAAAGGACCCAAGAGAATCCTTGGTCCACTCATTGATCGTGGACGAATCTTTATCTCCTTGTTCAGCTGTACTGTGACCAAAGGTGCTCCTACACGGCTGTGCTATCAGTGTGGTGGATACCACAACACAAGACCTGGCTTAGTGTGTATGGAGACTGCCAAGTGTGCCTCCTGTGGTGGAGAGCACCCACTAAAATTATGTAAGAAACCTCTTCCACAAACGAGGGATATGAACGATTCTGAGCGCGTATGCTCGAACTGTGGGAAGGAGGGTCATGCGGCCTTGCAATACTTGTGTAATCCTATCATAAAACTTGATGCCAAAGTGGGTGCTCCGGAACAAGTTTCCGGAGCCACTCAATGATGCTCTCACAGAGGGCTTCTGTAGGTTACACTGGTAGTAGTAATGAGCTAATGAATAATAGCATTGGTAGAGATAGACATACGAATGGTAGCACTAGTCGGAATCCTCGAACAGATAATAGTAATGATAGCATTGGTAGGAACCCTCCAACAGATAACAGTAATGATAGCAGTATCACATTTGCTTCCTTCAACTGCGGTAGGAGTAGAGCAAATCTAGAGTCGTGGTACAAGGAACATGGGTACAAGGTTGATGTAGCATGTATCCAAGAACCACCAGCTCTACTTGGACGATTTTTCAATGATATGATGGTTGCCTTCTGCTCTGGTAATCCAAAAGTAGACACAACGGCAAGGGACTACACTAGGGCGGTAGTACTAACAAGAAAAGAGATTGTGACCAAGAAACTGAGACAGAAACCAGACTGTGTCGCTGTGGATATAACAACAAAAGATGATGAATGCTTACGAGTTATTAGTCTATATGCTGACAAGAATCTCAATCCGGGGGACCTGTGTAACTGTCTGGAGGATTTGTTGGAGGACAAAGAGTTTGACTATATATTGGCAGCGGGGGATCTGAATGCTTGTTCTTCTTGGTGGTGTTCACCGCCACTAGGAGATAGTGACGAGAGAAAAAGAAGGGGGGAGATTTTTGAAGAATGTTTCTTGAGGATGAACCTGTCTCCTGTGAATGCGAATAAAGGAGTGCCATCGTACTGCTCTGGAGGAAGGAGTAGCTACATAGATGCCGTTCTAGCTTATGGCCTGACAGTCAATAAGCCGGCGTATGCTCTTGATACGAGTGGTGATCATAGGACTTTAGTGTGCGAAGTCCAGTGTGAACATGGTGGCCTCAAAACAAAGTGCGAAAGGATAAACTATGCGAAGGTTGCAAATTGGGACAAATTCGTTGCAAGAGTAGTCAACAAGACGCCAGCTTTCATAAAGATGGATGACGCTACATCCATTGAACAAGCGGCTATTAAATTAAATGATGTGATCAAAAATGCAATGCTGGATTCGTGCATAGAAACGAATAATAGGAAGCAAGCCAGGGAAAGACGTAGAGGGGGACAGATTTGGTGGAACAACGACCTTGAGAAGAAAAGGAAAGCCCTTCGGAAGAGAGAGAAAGAAATGAGGAGAATGAAGAGAGAAGGTCGAACCCACGGTGAAGAAGGGAGGGTGAGAGATCAGATTCGAGCTGCAAAAAGGG